TGTAACTGTATCCCTTTGTCTCAATGTCTAAACTTAATGCAAGGGATTAATAAAATCCAGCTTGTATCCATTAAGTCATTCACTAATTTATCAAGTCTGACTGATAGGAACAGACGTCATAAAAGCATCTCAGCATGGCCATGCAATTTCCTCAATCATAACTTATCAGTGGGCCCCATAAGACATTAATCTCTTTTAAAAAGAGTAGTGACAAATCCTATGTACGTAATTTACGTTTCTGAATACGCGCTGCGGCATACCCAAAACAAAGCCTGTATACCATCCTTATTTCATATGGCTTAGGACAATGCATCAAAGTATGCGGGTTCACATATGCAGAAAACGTAATACTTCAAGTCGAAGGATAGTTACACCCGTGGTCGCGCTAAAGATATTTAGAGCATGAACTAAAAGTTCAAGCAACATCTTTAGGATGGGTCAGTCCGGCATCCTATTATCTCTAGATAATATCTGCCCATGTGCGGATGCGAACACACCGTCATTGACTATGAGACTAAGTCAAACATCCAACACACACTAGTCTCACATGAATTAACGATATCCTTCTCTTGTTAATACTCGACTATGGACATTTAGATAAATATTTATTTTAAGATGTTAGTCTCATCAGCAGAAAAACACTATCTGAGAAAAATCTTTAAATATAAATCTAGGAATATAATATTCATTTACATTAGCATGAGATGTGTAAACATATTATATCTGCCTATACGTGATAGGATAACGATGAACAGTTGGCCATCAGGGCACAACTCCAACAATCTCCCACTTGCACTATGGCCAATCTGGCATCGGTCGAATGCCCATGGACCTAGTGTGATCCTCATGCTTTAGATTTCCTAAAGGCTTGGTCAAGGGATCGGCTATGTTGTCGTCAGTATCTACTTTGCAAATCATCACATCTCCTCTATCTACGATTTCTCGTATGATGTGATAGCGTCGTACAATGTTTTGGTTTTCTGGTGAGATCGCAGTTCCTTTGCCTGTGCAATGGCCCTAGTGTTGTCACAAAACAACGAGATAGGGTCATTAATACTAGGAACCACTCCAAGTTCAGTAATGAAATTTTTGATCCAAACAGCTTCTTTAGCTGCCTCGGCGGCAGCTATGTACTCAGCCTTTGTAGTCGAATCGGCGGTTGTATCATCCTTGAAGCTCTTCTAGCTAAAAGCTCCACCATTCAGGCAAAACAAATATCTTGCTTGTGATTTTGAGTCGTCTCTATCGGTTTGGAAGCTAGCATCAGTGTAACCGACCACCTTTAGCTCTTCCTCACCACCGTATACCAGGAATGCATCCTTAGTATTGCGAAGATACTTGAGGATGTTCTTGACCGCTGTCTAGTGTGCTTCTCCTAGACTTCCCTGGTATCTGCTGGTCACGCTTAAAGCAAATGAGACATCAGGTCTAGTACATATCATGGCGTAC